TCTTAGTTTAGTAGGACGACTCATCTTAGTCAAGTATTTTCAAATCCACTTACTTCTTTTCTTCTTTCTTTCTTTCTTTCTTTCTTTCTTTCTTTCTTTCTTTCTTTCTTTCTTTCTTTCTTTTTGTTTTTGGTGTCAGGAATTGAACTCAGGTCCTTGTACTCAGCGAGGCAGGTGCTGTGCTGCTGAGCTATGTCCCCAGCCTTGACTTTTATCCCTTGCCCCCCCCCACAACTTTTTTTTTTTTAATTACCTCCGGAGCACTTGTCATATGTCTGACACTGAGGAGAAAATAGTGGACAAGACAGATTGTCCCTTCCTGGAAAGCTTATAGTTTAGAGGAATGACAATTGATACTTGAAGAAATTTTTAAAAAAACACTGTTTTCCCCTTTTTTTCCTCTTTACTCATCCTTTGAGATATATCTCAAATGCCATGAATTTTTAAAAATTTTGTTTTTATGTTTTTGGTTTTTTTGGTGGAACCGGGGATTGAACTCAGGCCCTTGCGCTTGCCAGGCAAGTGCTTATTCTACTGAGCTATCTCCCCAGCCCCTGTTCGCATGGTTTTGAGACAGTGTCTCACCACTTAGTTCAGGCTGGCCTTGAATGCACTGTGTAGTCTAGGCAAGCCCCATACTCGCGGCCATCCTCTTGCCTCAGCCTCCTACATGCTGAGAACACAGGCACTGCTGAGACAGAGTCCTGAGATCACAGGCTTGGCAAATGCCATAGATTTTATAAGACCTTTTGCTTTACCTTTCCTTCTGACTACAACTCCCTTCATATAAATTTTTGTATATGGAGGATGTTCACTCCTCATCCAGTCCCTCAGCTTCGGGTGAAAATATTTGGAACATCCTTTGGAAAACAACTTTGTCTTAGGTTTGTTTGTTTGTTTTTTGTTTTTTGTCACTGAGACACAATACCTGATACCCACAATTCCAAGGAGGAAAGGTTTATTTTGGCCCAGAGTTTGTAGAGATTTCAGTCTATAGTTGGCTGGCTCCAAGGCAGGTGGCAGAACGGAGGAGCTTAGCAGCAGAGAAAGAGCTCCTGGTGGGGCAGCAGAGAGCAGAGAAAGATTAAGAGAGGAAGGAGGACCTTCAGAAGGAAAGGAGAATGTTTTGTGGACCATTGTATCATGTGTGGTGGGGCAGTTTTTAAGTTAGTAGTTTTTCAAATAACTTTTTAAGACTATTTATTTATTTATTTATTTAGGTACAGGGTCTCACTATGCAGCTCAGACTCATAGTGCTCCTCCTGTCTTAGCCTCCACATCGCTGGGATTACAGGCATGTGCCACCACGCTCAGTTTCTGGGCTGGCACAGAAAGCCTGAGGTTCCAGGGCTGGCATGGTATGCAGTACTGGGCATCAAATCTGGGTCCTTGTGCTTGCCAGGCAGACACTTAGACCACTGAGCTATCTCCCCAGCCCTAAAATGAACATTTTTTTTGGCTTAAAAATTTTATTTTTAAAGTCTTTTTTTTTATTTGTGTGTGTGTGTGTGTGTGTGTGTGTGTGTGTGTGGCCAGCTCAGCCCATCAGGGGGTGGGGCTGGCTGGCATGTGGTGCTGGGGGATTGAACTGTGGTCCCTGTGCTTTGCCAAGCTTGTTCCAAGTAGGTGCTTTAGACCACTGAGCCATCTCACCAGCCCAAAAAATTTATTTTAATTGATATATAAAAACATAAAAAGTATACATGTCAATGGGATACAATGTGATGTTCAATACATACATATATCCCATACTGTTTAAACTGTTACACCTACTTCTCAAATATTGTTTCTTTAAATAGATATTTTAATACAGTGAGTATTATTTTCCAAATTACATTAGCAAATACAAGTGGAAACACTTTTTTAGAAAATTAAATAGCAGCCAATGGGGGGGAGATGTGGATGGGGACTGAAGCCTGGACCGCTTTAATGCTGAGCTACATCCCAACCCCTTTTATTTTTTATTTTAGACAGGGGCTTACTACATTGCCTATATAGGACTCAAACTTCCAATTCTCCTGCCTCAGCCTCCCTTGGTGCTATGATTATGGGCATGCACCACCGTGCCAGCCAACAGCAGCCAATTCTGGCAACTCAGCACATCGAGCTCCATCAGCTGTGTGACTGTGACCACAGAGGCCCTCAACCTGGGACACTGAGTCTTCCCCAGCAAAGCTGAAATACCTGCTGACCAAATGTCTATATGTCAAAGGACCTCTGTGGCTTACAAAAATTGTCACCCTGTATTGTGTCTTAAACATCACCTCAAAGTAAAACAGAAGTTTGTATAAGCTGTTTAGTACATTCAGGGTGCTCAACCTAAAATGAACATTTTTAAAATGGAAACAATTTGACCAAAAACCTGTCACAGAATTTTAAGATCCATTAAAACAAAATTAACATGAAACTTGTATCTCTTTTGGTCAACACAACTCTCTCTCTCTCTCTCTCTCTCTCTCTCTCTCTCTCTCTCTCTTTTTTGCAGTACTGGGGATTGAACTCAGGACCTTGTGCTTGCCAGGCAGACAATTTCAGTTTCCTATAACCTGTTTCTGGTGTTAACCCTGAAACTTGAATATAATTCTGATTGCTTTATATCTAAGAAGGGGAATCTGTTTTGCATAGTAAAAAGGTATAAGGTGAAGGGCTGGGTTGATGTGCCAGTTAATAGTTTCATGTCATGTAATTCATAATATAGGAGACCTACATGAAATCTATGTCATGTGATTCTACTGTAAATTTGTTAGTGTAGATTCTCAAACACTGTCCTGTGGGATCTTAAGTGTATAATGTTTAGGAAATACTGAAATACAACCAGGCTTTGGAAAAAAGAGAGAAAAGGGCCAGCCAAATAGCTCAGTGGGTTAAAGCACCTGCAAACAGGTACAGGGGCTGGGGTTCGATCCCCGGGCCTGCCATGTTGGCCCTATCCCTGGGGTGTGCTGAGATGGCAATTGAGACTGGGTGCAGTGGTGCATGCCTGTAATCCCAGCTCTTGGGAGGCTGTAAACAGGCGGATCACTATGAATCCTATCTAGTAGTAAGACCCTGAAAACCCTGTAGACTCTTCCCTAAAGTAAAAAAAAGAAAGAAAGAAAGAAAAAGGAAAAGAAAAAAGAGAGAGAGAAGAGGGAGGGAGCCTGACTCCTCCAGGCCACGCCCCCAGTGACTCCCCCCCTCCACTAGACTTCACCTCCCAACATCACACTTAGCTATAAATTCACCAGTGGATGACTCTTAGTATCACATCCACATAATCTGGTTTCCTCCTCCAAATCCCACCTATGAGCTCATACAAACCATAACAAACCTTTCCCTCCCCTCTCTCCCAGGTCACTGGGTTCCACTTGGTGCAAAGAGAACCCCTTCAGCTACAGTTCAGGTTTGGTTAATCCTCTGGCTGCAATGATTGGGTTGGGATGGATAAACGATCCCACATGGCTCACAATGGGTCCCAGACACGTTCCTGAGTCTCAAGAAACAGATGTTTTTCTTCTCAGCTGAGTTGAAGCCTAAGAAGATGGAGATTATTGAATTTGTGGCTGCAATTTTGCTATGCTGTGGGGAGTAAGGCCAGGTCAACATAGAGGAAAGAATATCCAAGTGGTGGAAATATTCTTTCAAAACTCAATGCTGGATCAAGCTATAACTAAAGCCTGAACCTTGAAAGTTTGACATTTTAGTTCATAGGCCAGGAAATTTCCACTTTTTCTAAAATAATTTTAGGTCTGCTTTTTCAGAAGAATACTGAGTAATTCACTAGCACAGCAACTCTGACTTGGACTCCCTAAAAGATAGAGGCTGGTATGTGTCTAGTTCCACCCTCATCTGCAATATGGGAACACTACTCTCTCTCTAGCTGTCCCCAGTAATTTGAGTCCTCTGGGAAATCCTTCCTGTGTGGTCCTCAAGCTAATATCCCAAGTGCCCTTTGGCCCCATAAAGCTCTTTGGGGGAAAGGAGGAAACCCTGTTTCTCCAGAAGTAGGAGTGGTAATCTTGTTTCAGTCACCCAGCAAAGCAGCCAAAAGATGGTCACCAGTGAAGAAAGGAAAGCCCTTGCTCTCTTAAGTCACTGAAGGTCTGGGTCCTACCAGCTGACACTACTGTCCCATCCAGGGACACAAAGCTGCTGTCTCTACAATTCCGTGTATGGTGCATTTGCCAGACATTTTGCCCTCATTCTCAGATGTGATCCTCAAAGCAATTTAAGGAATAGGAATAATTACAGCCCCCACTGAACAGATGAAAGGTGGAGTTGAGCAAGTTCATCACTGAGATGGGTAGAGTGGCCATCAGCTACCTGGGGCCAGCCAGGAAACGTAAGACTTCCATTTCACAAAAAAAAGAAAAAATTCAGTGACTAGGCCAAGACCGCAATCAGTCACGGAAGGATCTAGGGATTCGAGATACACGTTAGAGGTCATCTGTGGTGGACAGCTAGCTGCATGGTAGGAAATTAAAGCGGTCGCTTGGAGGCTGCCCGGGTGCGGGTGCGATTGGGGCTGTTGAGGCCCAGCTAGAGAGGGCGTGGATAGTCACGGCCCACGTGACCAAGGGGATTTTCCGACCTAGGGACTCTGGCTTGACAAGTGGGGGTGGTGGGAGGGGCGGGGCTCTCTGTGCCCGCCCACGTCCAGGTGAGGCTCCCCAACCGGCCGGAAGGGAGAACGCGCCCACGCAGTGCGAGGGGAGTGTAACGTGCTCTTGGCTCTGGGGCTGTCGTGCCAGGCTTTCTCAGCGTCCGGGTCCTTCCCGGCTGGGCGAGCTGGCCGGGACGTCGGCGGGGCTGGAAGAGCAGGGTGCCGCGCCCTGCCCAGGCCAGGTGTTCTCCCCGGGGGCGGAGTTTGGGATCCAGGCAGCTGGAGGCGCTAGGAGTAGTAGGAGGTGGAGGGAGAAGTGGACCAGAGACAGAGCCCGGGACTTGGGGAGCGCACGGGCGGGCAGAGGCCCGGGCCGCCAACATGTTCGCCCGAAACCACCGAAGCCGGGTCACCGTGGCCAGGGGCTCAGCCCTGGAGATGGAGTTCAAGCGCGGCCGCTTCCGACTTAGCGTTTTCAGTGACACGCCCGAGGTGAGCACGCGTCCCCACCCTGCCTTGCTCGGCCTCTCCGGGCTGCCGCCGCCGTGCGGGTGCAAACCGGCGGGGAGCTGTTGACCGAAATAGTAAGGTGTGGACCGCCCGCGCACCCGAACTGCACCTTCCCCGGCCTGGTTGTCAGGATTCGCCTCCGCCTGGAAAAACTCCTGCTTGGCCTCGATTTGAGGAGCTGCAGGTTTGATTCCCCAAATGTGCCTGGACACAGCCCCTCTGGGCATCCCCTGGGCAGGCAGCGGTGGGCAGCCGGGCGAGCTCCAAACGCTCGGGCACCGGCTGGGTCCCGGCTGCCAGCCTCGAACCCCTTCCCCGTCCCATGTCCCACGTGCCTTCCCAGCTTTATGGGCCAACCTCTGCAGTCCCTCTGGACTCTTATCTGCCACTGCGCCCAAGCCCTCGGCATCCCCTCTGTGCTTCCAAAGGTGGGTGTATGAAGGGTTTCTTTTAACCCTTTTAGTCCCTACACCCAAACTTTCCGCCTCCTTTCCTGGGGTTTAAGAGGAATCTGTGTCTAAGGTGGGAGTTTCCTCCGAGTCCTCCAGTGTACATCTCTCACGCCCCGGGGAGGCACCCAAGCCCGACCTACAACCCCCAAAGAGGCTGCAGAAGGATTGGAGGGGTAAGGCTGAGCCAGGACAGAGAGGGTGCACAGCACCACAGTGACACTCCTGTCCCCAAGGTCAGCCACACACTTGCCCAGGGAGAATCCAGTTCCAAGCTGTCCTCCTCTCCCGGGCCCGTAAAGGGTTAAGTGAGGTGGGCCTCTCCCAGCCCCTCACCCTCCCGGCCAGGATTCCAGGCCTGGCTTCTGCCCTTTCCCTCCAGGCTGCCCAGAACAAAGGCCCTTTCACACCCGTGCCCCATGTCGCGTGTCCCAGGCCTTCCCTGAGTCAGAAGCTAGTGGACTAGGGGGGAGCGATTTTGTCGCCGCACCCCTACCAACTCGGCCTGAAAACCCCGCGTGGGACAGGCGTGGAGGAGTAAGGAGCAAGGCCAGGAACAGGAGGAGGGGCCTGTGAATCCCGCCGCCCCTGGGATCTGCCAGGCCTTTGGGAGCCGGGGCGGAGCCGCAGGGCCGGGCCGCTGCGGCTGAGCTGAGAGTGACTCCGTGGGCCCGGGGTGGAGGGGGGCCACGCTGCAGCTGGTTGGGACTCGGGGCTGGTTTCCTGTCTGGAAGGGAAGGGGCCTTCAGAGGGGAGTGGGGGCAGCAGCAACAGGCACACTCCAGCCACTCTCCCTCTCCTCCCTTCTGCTGGAAAAGCGAGGTAATTGTGAGCCCGGGTGGGGCTGGCTGGCTGGGCCCCGAATTGGAAAGGGTAGCCCTGGGGCTGGGCCACGTTGCCAACTCACCCCTTTATCCCATTCCCTGCGTTCATCTCCCTTCAAGTCCCCACCTCTGTTGCTCTTCTTGCAAACTTTGTCAAACTGAGCCAGACCTCTGTTCCAAGAGAGTGCCAACCTCCGGACAAACCCCAGGACACCAAGAAACCCGCTAGAGGCAGAGGCGTGCCCTCCCTGCCCCCTTCCAGCTGTGCCTGCCCCTCACTGCCCTCTCCTTACACAGATTCTCTGTCTGCCTGGCCAGGGATGTGGGCGGGAGCTGGGGAGGGGCCCGAGTAGGAATGAAAGAGCCTTTTTCTTCCACAGCTGGGAGAACAGCTGCCACCAAAGCAAGACTGGACACTCTGTGCCCATAGTGCCCTCTGCAGCTGGCCTCCCCTCCCAGACCCCTGCTCTTCCCCACCTCACTGTCCTTTCCTCCCCTCCTGGCTCCCATCAGGGCTTTGGATCGGCAGCTAGAGGGTCTAATCAAAGTGAAGAGGGAAAGGGGCAGCCTCTTCCATCTGCCCCAGAGCTGGCCACCTCTCCTGGAGGAGAGCAGTGGGAGGAGTAACTGTGGGACAACGTGGTACCACCTGCCCCCCAGGGGTTGCCAAGGGAAAGGGCTCTGGGGGGCACAGAGATGCAGGACAGATTGCACATCCTGGAGGACCTGAATATGCTCTACATTCGGCAGATGGCACTCAGCCTGGAGGTAATGCCCCTATCCCTGGATTATGCAGTCCTCCACTTGCACCCCAACCTGTATTGGCTTTCCCTATACCAGCTGGGGCTGGAGGAAGGGTGGGGTTTGCTTAAAGTGGGGAGAGCGACAGCTGATTTGGAGGGCAGTGTATGGACCTCGGCCCAGTTCTGCTCATCAGGACATTATGTTGACAGCAGTGTTTTCACACCTATTTTTGGAAGCTCAGTGGGTGGGTGTGGATGTCTTCTGGGGATAAGGGCTCCTTCTAGGGAAGCTGTGGACAGAAGCGTCCAGTGTGAGAGGTTTTACAAAGGATAAGAAGACATAGGAGATGCTGGGCAAGGAGTAAAGCTCCTGTTGGCTTCAGAGATGCTGAGGAACTGTTTATTGTATATTGTTTTAAAATGTATTCTTTTTTATTTTTTTGAGACAGGGTCTTACTAAGTTATCTAGGCTGTTCTTGAACTTGTGAACTTCCTGTCTCAGCATCCCAAGTAACTGGGATTACAGGTATGCGCCAGCATGCCTAAGCATTTATTTATTCTTAAACACAATTATTGAGCACGTGTTATGTGCCAAGTTCCTATCTAGACTATGAGATACCTAGGTGAATAAGACAGGAAAGGTCTATTCTAGAGGGAGAACAGATTCTAAAGTGAGAACAGATAATAAGCACACAAATACATAAATAATAGAGTGAAAATATGATGAAAATTGGGAATTTCAACAAAATTAGATGGGGGAGGGGCATAAGTGTGGTGTTCTGGGAGGATTTGTGGGTGTGAAGATGGGAAGAAGGCTTTCTAGAGGAAGGCATGGCAAGGGCCAAGGGCCTCTGATGAGGGAAATATTTGTGGGAAAGAGACAGTGGAATACAGCTCAAATATAGTAGTTAAAGCTGAGCTGATGGGCTGGGAAGCTCATGTAAGGCCTTGAAGACTATGGTAAATTATTTAGATTGCAGTCTGTATGACACTGGTCCAGGGAAGGGTTTAAGCAGAGGAACAACTGCATCTAAAGTTTTAAAATGATAGTTGCTGTAAGAATAAACCCGGGGAGCTAGGTATATAGCTCAATGGCATAGTGTGTGCCTGGCAAGCACAAGGTCGTAAATTCTATGCCTGGTTAAAAAAAAAAAAAAAAAAAAAAGAATAAACTCAGGTTGGAGTGGGAGGTTTGACAGGGACAAGAAAAGTAGCAGAAGACCACAGTTGGGGGGGTCATGTTGCAATCCTGGAATGTACCTGGGGGTATAGATGAGTGTTGACAGACTGGCCCCATGGGTGACAGAAAACACTAGAATGATTCTCAGGCGTGTGGATAAGCAACTGGTTGGTTAGCACGTTACTGAGATAGGGAGATGGAGGAAGCTGTGGAAGTGACTGCCTGGACCAGGCCAGGAGCTGCTGCTAATGAAGGTCGGAAGCAGGAGCGTGAAGAGTCTCCATCTGGCATAGCCATTTATTGCCCATTTGCTGTTTGCCCAGGTGTCCCAGACCACAGTGGACATTTCCAGCCAGTCGTAGCGCTCTTCACCAGTGAGCCCAGATATCAGCACAGCCTTGCTATAAAGTGTAGTTTATGTCCTTCCTATGGTGAGCAGGAGTCCTGGTCTGGGTTCTGCTGCCTCAGGAGGGGACACTTTAAGGTGCCCCCCCAGACCATTATCCTGTGTCAGCACATGAGATAAAACCTATTTGTTATCTGCCATCCCCTGCACTTTATTACTAGTTACATCTGGTCATTTCCATGGTAGTCTTGGTTAATTAAAATGAAATAAAATAAAGCATTTTTTTTCTTAGTTGCTATAGCCACATTTCAAGTGAGGTGGCTACTGAACATTTCCATCTCTGAAGTAGATTTTATTGGACAGAGTTGGTTTAGGTATATAAAGATTTGTATTCTGCCCAACAGTGTAATTTCTCTGCATGGGAATCCTGACCAAGATTTGGGGACATAGGAGGGGTTTGGTTTTCACTTTGGTCAACTCTGCTATCAACCGTAGGCTGAAAGTGGTATAATTTTGTCTTCACCAAGTTCAGGGAGTCCTCAGAAGAAGGGCCCCCTGGTGTTTCTGGGAATGGCAAGAAAGGTAGTTTTGGAAGAATAAATGTGGACTCTCTAGGGGATGTGATTTAAACTGCAAGTAAAGGGGAGAACAGTGAGAGGAAGCTTCTTTTTAAATATGTGCTAGGCTGCGGCAGAGGTTAGACTTTCACACCTTCATCTTCCAGTAATGCTAAGGAAGGAAGTGAAATGCTCCCAGGTTCACAGACTAAGGCCCCAGAGGTTGAATGTTCACAGCTTGTCAAGTCCCTAACCTAGAATTTGAATTTAGCCCTAGGGAGATTCTGAAAAGGGAGCAGAAGAAGGTGCTGAGAAGCAGAGCCAGAATTCAGGGACAGAGAGAAGTGGGAGGAGTGCAAGAGGCCTTCCGCTGAGGGCCTGAGTGTGCTCAGGCTTCTGCATCCTTTTTTCAGTCCCTGGGGACCTGACCCAGGTTCCGTTGACACTCAACTCTGCACTGCTTCCCAGGAGTCTGGGGGAATTGTTGTGTGTGGGGGTGGGGTGGAGCAAGAAGGGATCAATCCGTGGTCTGGGAACTGGGTGAAAACTAGGGTCCAGAGCCTTAGCCATGCCCCCAGATGCTCTATGCAGAAGGGCGGTAGCTGGTTTTCTTGGGCACCCTTGGTTATGGGCCTTGGGAGAGTAGACCCGGGGCTGGAGGGTGGTGGTCAAACAGGAGAGAGGTACCAGGCCCCCAGCTGGACTCAGTCCTTTCCAGGGCCCCAGTTCAACTTTATACAGCCCCTGCCCCACACCCCTGGGAAGGTCACCTTCAACCACAATGTGGGAGGGGCCTCCTGTGTTCTGCAGGGCCCAGAGCCCATTCCAGGGAAGTACAGGTACTGCGGGGGTCCTGTGCTGCAACCTGCGTGGCTGGGATGCCCAGAGTGCCAGTCTTAGCTCTGTAGAACTCCGGGAGGCCCCTGTGCCCCAGGGCGCTCTCGCGGCAATTGAGATCTGATGTCACCGGCGCCCTGAGCACTGCTGGCAGCGGCGGCACGCGCGCGAGGCGGCGGCTGCTGTATGATGCTTCCCCGCGGCCCTCGGCTCAGCCGGCTCCGGGCTAGTGCTGCTCCCTGGACCCCCGGCGCCACTGCGGGCGCCCACACACGCAATGGACAGGGCTAGGGAAGGATCCGTGAGTGCTGGGGACTGGGGCAACGGAAGGTAGCCCGAAAGGAGCTTGAGTGTGCCCATGGGTCCTCTCATTCGGGTGTTTGTGGCAGAAGCTGGATATAGTGTGGGGTAGGGGTTGCCAAGCAGCAAAATTTAACAGAGACAAACGACCTCGATGCGGACAGAAGAAGCTAGGTTGGGGGGAAATCTATGTAATCTGAGAGGGCTTCCTGGTGGAAGGGGCTGGGTTGGCCGGTTTTATAAGAGAAATGAGTGCTTGCTTAATGCTGGGTTAAGTGTGGTGAAGGTCTGGTCTAGCACAGTGACCCAAGAAAAAAAATTGATAATGAAGAGTGAATGTGTAGACAGGTTGGACAATATTTTTTTTTTTTTTTTTTTTAATATAGCCTTGCTATGTAGCTCAGGCTGCCCTTTAACTCAGAATGCTTTTCTTCCCACAACCTCTCAAATTCTGGGATCACAGGTCTGTGCCTAGCTGGAGAAGGGATCTGGACAAGGGAATGCAGGGTGTTCAAGTCTTGTCTCTTTGAAGGTTGGAGCCACCAGGGACAAAAGCAAAGGCATAAGATGTGGAGCAGAACTGGGGTGAGGGAGAAGATAGGCTGGGGGGGGGGTTCATATTCATTCCACTCTTCCAATGGCATGCCTCCACTTGCCTGGTTTCCTGAGCCCTTTTGAATTATGGGTTAATCTCCCACCTCCTCTCTGAAGTCTCCTGTGATTGTCTCAACCAGGAGCAAAAAGGATCTCTTTCCTGTGGTGTGCTTATGCCATGACATGGCATTTACGGAGCAGCCATTATTGCCTGCATCTCTCATCTCCCAGCTGGATTTCAAATCTAGAGCCATGGAAGGCACAGAAGCCCCTGCACTCACGGGAGGAGCACTGGTGCCACCAACGTGGCATTGTGATTAAACTACCCCTCCCTATTACTCACACATATAGTACTGTGCGCTGGCATTGTGTTGAGTCCTTGTCTCACAGTCCTAGGATATGGGATGATTTTTATCCCCATTTCTATTTGGGAAACTGAGGTTCAGGAGGCTGAGTAAATTATCCAATGCCCAGTGCTTTTTAAGCACCAGAACCACTTTTTAATTTTTTGGTGGTATCAGGGATTGAACTCAGTACCTTGCACTTGCCAGGCAAGCACTTACTCCACTGAGCTATCTCCCATCCCCAGAACCACTTTTTAAATGAAAGTTCCTGGTGATTCTTCTAGTGCCTCCCCCCTGGCCTGTAGGCACGGCCTGTTGTAGACCATTTGCATGCACCCCCATTCCTTGAGTTTGACCTCACACCCAAACGCAGAGTGTCAGATGGTATTGGGTCCCCTAATTTGGGGTGTGTATGGGGTTTTGTGTGACAAGGGTAGGTAAACTCTTAGTGAAGGAAAAGAACCTAAAATTCACAGATCCTGTAAATCTGTATTCCATCCCTAACTTCCAATGGAAGACCCAGGTCCCTAATATTTTATGCATGAATATGCATATATGTATATGCAAATGTATACATATAAGTATGTATACCTCATGCACAAATGGTAACGTGTATAATGTTCTGCCATCTTTTCTCACATATTTTCTGGAAATTGCCTCAGCATTGCCTCTTCATGTGTATCTAGCTCACTCTTTAGTGTCTATACAACATTACAGGGGGCCTGCCCATTAGCTCAGTTAAGTGTGTGCTTATGCAAATGCAGTCAGGGGCAGGATACTTTGGCTGGATCCCGAGCTCATCAGGCCTTACCAGACCCACCCTTAAGGCAGCCTGAGCCAGAAAAAAAAAAAAAAAAAAAAAATATATATATATATATATAGATAGATAGATAGATATAATTACATGCTATAGATGTGCTATAATTTATTTAACCAATGCCCTATTGAAGGACTTCTCATTTTAATTTTAGTATTTAAAACAATGTTGCATGAGTATTTTTGTACAAATGGCTTTGCCTACTGTATGTGTTCACTCTATCTGCACGATACGCTTGTGGAAATTGGATACTTAGATAAAAAGATATGTGAACTTGTAGTTTTCCAAGATTTTTCTAAATGTGTTCAAGAGGCAGAATGAATTTGAACTCTCAACCATCAAATGCATGGGAGCATCTGGATTCTAAAAGCTTCCTTGATTATTCCTAAGCAACTGAAGTTGAGGCCCAGTGTTTGCTGCTGAGTTGCCTGAAACATTAGTTTCTTACCATTTTTCCCTGGGGTACAGCACAGTTGAGGACTTGGTGGGAGGTGGGGCTGTGCTTCAGCCTGTTCTCTGACTGACATTTCCTTTTTCACCTTTCCCCTGACCCTGGCTAGGACACCGAGTTGCAAAGGAAGCTGGATCATGAGATCCGGATGAGGGAAGGGGCCTGCAAACTGCTGGCAGCCTGCTCCCAGCGAGAACAGGCTCTGGAGGCCACCAAGAGCCTGCTGGTGTGCAACAGCAGAATCCTTAGCTACATGGGCGAACTACAGCGGCGCAAGGAGGCCCAGGTGCTGGAGAAGACAGGACGGCGGTGAGCATGGAGAGGCAGGCATCAGGGGGAGCAGGAGGCTGGAAGAGTGGTGGCCTACAGCACGTGCACATGTGGAATGTGACTGCGCTGCAGAAAACCTGCAGGAGGTTTCCTGAAGGCGTGTGTGTGTGTGTGTGTGTGTGTGTGTGTGTGTGTGTTTGCGGGGGGCTTGGTGTTTTACACTGCAGTGTACTGCCCAAAGTAGCTAGGGCTGTACTCAGTAAGTCAGCATGTCTGGAGGAAGTAGACAATCTGAGGAAGGAGTGCAGTAGAACTTCTCTGCCAACACCTGCTTGTGATCTGAAAAATTTGGCTGGTTTCTAGAAAATGAATGAGCTCAAAGCCAGTTCATCAAATGTCAATTTCCTACAAATTCCCAGTAGTTTCTTGTAATGAGGATTCACCATCAAAGGTAGGAGCTGAGAAGAAATGTAATAAAAAACCACTTTAAGAAAGCCTGCCCATTCATAGAAGCTAGTGTGTGTATTCTAAGAGGGCGTGGCCTCTGTGTGCAAAACATAACAACATTAGACTACACTGACACTAGACTGCTGACCTGCTAGATCTGATGTCAGGTGGCTCAAGTGATATGCTATGGTCAGGCTGAAATGCTGGAGGAAATATTTGGCAAGATGATCTTTCTGAGAATTGGCCAATTTTGATAAATTAGTCCTTTGGAGGACTGGCTCTAGCAAAGGGGCCTGCTTGTCTCACCAAAGCAGAGTGGGAAGGTGGTCCTAATATGGTGCCCATTCCAGCCAAAAGGTGACACAGGGAAGGTTGTCAGCTCACCCACGAAGCCAACAGAACTAGAAAACTCACCCTGCTGCTGCCCCATGCCACTAGAGGAAGGGCAAGCAGGTAAGGGGACACTTTGTCTGTCTGTGTGCATGGCCATCAACAGCCAGCCCTAAGTCAGCACACAGCATGACCCAAAGTACACCGGAGTCCGCTGTAGATAAACATGTTGCCATTAGTTCTCTATCATTTAGCGGAAGAGCCTGCTGAGTCAATTATATTATTGCTGTTATAAGTAAGTACAGAAAAACTGGCTGGCACTTTAGCAGAAAGACACTTGCTCAGTGAATCTCATTGATGGCTGGGGAGATGCTTTGGGCGACCCTGAAGTGGGGAATGTGGAGCCCTGGGAAGGTGTGCAGCTACCTGGCTAACAAAGCAAAGCAGGACTGGCCAGATAGCTGGAATAAAGCGCCTGCTTAGGCAGAGCACAGCAGCAGGTTTGATCCTGGGCATGCTGTGCTGGCTTCACCACTGGGGCTCAATGAGACAGCGATTGAGATTGGGTGTGGTGGTGCATGCCTGTAATCCCAATTCTTGGGAGGCTGAACACAGGCAGATCACTACAAGTCCAGTCTACGTAGTGAGATCCTGTAGACCCTGTAATAAATTAAAAAAAAAAAAAAAAAAAAAGGAAAGCAAAGCAGGAGGGGGATGGTAGAGGTATCAGTGGTGAGTAGAACACAGATCTATAATTGTGTTTCTTCCTTTCATCAAACACTGGTCAAATTATCCTCTGAATAATGCAGGGCCCTCTTGCATCAAAGTGACAAGATGGTAGAAAGGAGTGATCTCTTTGTTACTGCAAAGAAAAGCCTGCAGACACCTCCAAGTCTAGGGTCTAATGGAGAAAAGCCTTTGAAAGGGGATAGGGTCTATCTGTGGGCACTCAAGGCCCCATTTGTCCCCTGCAGGGTCTAGAGAGATGGTTAGGGAGGGTGCTTGGAGTGGGAGGAGCCATGAGATTGGGTGTCCCTAAGCCCAGCAAAGCCTGGGTTCAGTTAATAACTCTCATGTCCCTAAGCCTAGGACCTGGGGGCTGGGCCCCAGGGGTCTGGGGGCTCCTAGAGCCCTTGAGAAACTAGAGTAAGGGGGAAGAGCATCGAGAAGCCAGGCCAGGACGTTGTGATCTACCCACAGGCCTTCCGACAGCGGGCTGCCTTCTGAGCGCTCCCCCTGCCGCGGCCGGGTCTGCATCTCCGGTAAGAAGCACAGCTGTCCCAGCTGCTGGCACCCCTCTCCCAGCCACACCTTCTCCTGCCCCATCTCAACATCTGTTCCTACCCTACTGCTCCTTAGACCTCCGGATCCCACTCATGTGGAAAGACACAGAATATTTCAAGAACAAAGGTGGTAAGTTTCACATTCTGGGACGAATTCAGGGGCTTACCCCTGAGGCTGGGAGCTCTTGTGAGACTTATTTATTTAAGACAATTTTGCTCTCTGTCCCCAGACCTACACCGCTGGGCTGTGTTTCTACTGTTGCAGCTAGGGGAACAGATTGAGGACACAGAGATGATCCTGGTGGACAGGACCCTCACAGACATCTCCTTTCAGCACAGTGTGCTCTTGTGTGTACCCCCATCCCAGCCCCCAAGGGCTCCCTTCTTTCTCCTGTCTGCTGCAGTCTGAGGCAGTTCTATGGGCGGAGAATGCAGAGGAGGAGGAGGGAGAAGAGGAGGAGAGGCAGAGCTGCCCCCTAGACTTCCTTGTGAGCTGTCTTGTAATTGTACCCCCATCTCAGCCTCGTGGTGATCACTTTCTCTTCCTTCCACACCCCTATAGCACCGAGGCAGGGCCAGATTTTGAATTGCGACTGGAGCTGTATGGGGCCAGTGTAGATGAAGAGGGGGCCCTGGCTGGCGCCCCCAAGAGACTTGCCACCAAACTCAGCAGCTCCCTGGGCCGCTCCTCAGGGAAGCGCGTCCGAGCGTCGCTGGACAGCGCTGGGGGCTCAGGGAGCAGTCCCATCCTGCTCCCCACCCCGGCTGTGGGGTAAGATCCTGCGCTCCTCCCTGCCTCAGCTGCCGTGTCCTGCACACAGTGACCTTTGAACCGTGCTGAGCAGGGGAGAGCTGACTGCACAGATGCTGGGATGTAAAGATGGCTGGATGCGAGTGTGCCGGACGCATTCCAGCCTGTGCCTCGAGCGGGGCCTGAGCTACTTCACAAGACCATGGAAAGGCAGGCAGAGTTAGGCACTGGGGTCTTAACTTCTTAGCAGTCAGCCAACATACCCTGTGGATGGTACTAGAACAGAGCCTCCTATTGGAACAGGGTACCTTGGCCCCGGAGATACTTCATGGAATCACTGGGACTCTGAGGAGCCATAAATTAGGGACAAGGTTCTTAACCTAGGTCTCAAGGTGCCTCCTTACCTGTTAACTGGAGAATACTACAACCTCACAGGGCAGCCAGGGAACACAGGATGGTAACATGTATAAAGTGTAGGTCAGTAAACTGTTCATTCCTAACCCCTGGTGGTGAGACAACCTGTTAGAGAGGGCCGCCTAACAGTGTGGCCGACCTGCTCAGCCTTACAGTCCCCACTAATGCACCTACCTCCCTGGCCTGATGCCCCTCCTCTCTTCTCCAGGGGTCCTCGTTACCACCTCTTAGCTCATACCACACTCACCCTGGCAGCAGTGCAAGATGGGTTCCGCACACATGACCTCACCCTCACCAGTCATGGTATGTGTGTGTGCGTGTGTGTACATGTGTGTGTGTGTGACACTGGTGATGGTAACGGGCTGTGGGGTTCCCCAACTCACCTTGCACTTTCTCATCCCCTAGAGGAGAACCCTGCCTGGCTGCCCCTTTATGGTAGCGTGTGTTGCCGCCTGGCAGCTCAGCCTCTCTGCATGACTCAGCCCACTGCCAGTGGTGCCCTCAGGGTGCAGGTGAGGAGGCCCTAATGAGTAGGACAGGGAGGAGCAGGACCACCTAGGACCACCAGGACTACTGGGAAATGAAGACTTGGGTGGAGGAGGGCATAGCAAGATGAAGGACAGACAGGAGGGTGGGTGAAAGGGGCAGGTTGTCAAGGGAGCCTGGGAGGAACAGTGCTGGGGAGGTGGGTGACTCTCCCAGGAAACACCGAGTCCTTTCCACAGCAAGCTGGGCAGCTACAGAATGGGGCACGATTGCATGGAGTCCTGAAAGGCACAAACCTCCTCTGTTACCGGCGACCGGAGGACGCAGACACTGGAGAAGAGCCGCTATTAACTATTGCCATCAACAAGGTGATGGGCCCCTGGGGGATGAGGTCACCAGGTAGCTGGCCCCAGGAGGGTAGGCAGACACCAGAGACAGGGAGGAGGCAGCCTTCTGCCCCTAACAGTATCACACAGTGCTTCAGGGCCTGTGGTGCAGTCATTCTCCACACCACAGCATCACTGAAAATACCCTCTGGCCCTGCAAGTCCAAGAGGGTTTCAGTGTCAGTTTAATGCTTTTCTTCCTCTTTCCTGCATCCAGACTCGACTTCGTGTCTACCTCACATGTCCCATTTTTCTTTCCCAAGGTCCAGTTGTCCTTTTATGCTCTTTGTTGGCGCTCCTGCTTGCTTGTTTTGGGATGCTGAGGATCAGCTCCAGGGCCCTGTGCATGTTAGGCAAGCACTGTACCTCCAAGCTATAACCCAGTCCCCTGCTCACTTCTTGGAGGTGTGGAGGGGCCCCAGGCCTTGGTGCTCTTGCCCACTGTGCCTTTCCTGCCCAGTCCAGCTGCTTTTTCCTGCCTCAGTCTGCTCCTCCTTCCCCGACTGAGCAGAGACAGTCTTATCCACAGCACTTTCTTCCCACTGTATTCAGTAGGAAGTAAATGAGGGCTCTGCAGGCCCCACTGAACTTCCTCCTGAGGTGGGGTGACTCGGGCTGCCTGATACCACTACTAAGGGCCATGACCAAGGTGGTGGTGGGAGCAGCCCTCTTCTGTCTTTTGCAGGAGACTCGGGTCCGGGCAGGGGAGCTGGACCAGGCCCCAGGGCGGCCCTGCACCCTCAGCATCAGTAACCAGTACGGGGGTGATGAGGTGACACACACCCTTCAGACAGACAGCCGGGAAGCCCTGCAGAGCTGGAGGGAGGCTCTGTGGCAGCTCTTCTTTGACATGAGTAAGAGAGAAGGGGCTTGGTGAGAAGCAGGAGAGGATGCCTGGCCCAAACCTATAAGTGCTCTTCTCGTAGGCCAGTGGAAGCAGTGCTGTGATGAAGTCATGAAAATCGAAACTCCTGCTCCCCGGAAACCGCCCCAAGCCATGGCCAAGCAGGGGTCATTGTACCATGAGATGGGTGAGTGAGAGAAAATACACTTGGGAGCTTCATAGGAAGAGGGGTTCTGGGTTTCAAGGGAACCCAGATACTGGAAACAGAGGAAGCACACTTTGTGCTATGATAGATTTCTGGGGACCCATCCAGTCCTGCTGTAGGCCCTTGTCCTCTCTAATTCTTTTTAGAATTATCTGCACCAAAATTCAAAACAAAATTTCAAAAGCAAAACAAAACAAGAAAAATATTTATTTCATGGGCTTCTATCCTAATTTTTCTTTTCTGTTTTCCTTTCTGCATGCGGATTCCTGTCTCTTCCTCTGGCCTCTCACTTGGCTGGCACTGCTTTCGTTTTTCTTTTCTTGATTTCTTTACCTCCTTCTGCTCCCCTCTCCCTTCCCACCCATGGCTGCATCCCACAGACTTATCAGAGCCCATGGCCCCCGGTGGCCCTGGTGAGGGGCTGCTCCTGCAGGACAACGCAATCTCGGCTGAGATCCGGGCTTTGCTTTCCTATTACAGTGACAGGTGACAGTCAGGGCTGGGTAGGCCTGGGGCCTGGGCTCTGACCAGCCCCCTCCCCACAACCCCTTCCTGATGCCACAGCTATTGAGCCGCTGGATGACATCGCAGCAGTGACAGACATCCTGGCTCAGCGAGAGGGCACAAGGCTGGAGACATCCCCACCCTGGCTAGCCATGTTTACAGATCAGCCTGCCCTGCCTAGCTCCTGCTTGCCTGCCTCAGTGGCCCCAGCCCCTGCCTGGACCCAGCCCCTCCCTTGGGGGCGACCCCGAACCTTTTCCCTGGATGCTCTCCCTCCAGACCACTCCTCCTCGGGGGCTTCTTGCTCAGTTGCCCCTCTTCCCTCACAGCGACCCCCAAGTTCTAGAGGCCTTTGCAGCAAAGGCCCTCTCCGTACTTGGCTCCAATCGCCAGTGTGAGGGACAAAGACACTGGCAACAGGATCTGGCCAGAAAAGGGAAGGACCCACGTGCAATTGGGCTCTGGACGCGGTGCTATCTGAAGCAACTCTGGCTAGCTTAGCCTCCTCTTCCTCTCTGCATTGGGAGTAGGCTGGGAGGGGGAACAGGAGGTCTTCTGAAGTTGTGAATGCCATGGTACTGAGTGGTTCAGTCCCAGAGCTGGCTGGGACCACCTAAGCCCTTCCTGGGAGAAAACTGGAATAACCCTTCCCTACCTCCCTGCACTAACCAGCTTTGAAGATGGCACTGAAGAGCCCTGGGAGGGGGCACACTTCCCTTGTCACTCCTACATCAACCATTAAAGTTATTTAATAGCAGCTTTCTTCTGGTTTTTTTTTCTTTTTCTTCCCAGCACTGGGTATTGAACCCAGTGCATCATGCTTGGTAGGCAAGTGCTTTACCCCTAAGCTACATCCCCAGCCCCTAACCCCCTTTTTGGATACCAGGGATCAAATTCAGGACCCTGTACTTGCCAGGCAGGCACTTTTGCTACTGAGATATCTCCCCAGCACCACCTCCCCTCTTTTAAACGCTTTTAAACTTTTGAGATGGGGTCTCACTGAGTTACCCAGACAGGCTTCAAAGCTGAAGTCATCCTGCCTCCACCTCCTGGATAGCTGGGACTACAGATGTGAGCTGCTGTGTCTGGCTCTCACTTGGTTCTGCAGTACAGGTTGCCTTTCTCTATATGGTCTGGACCTGTCCTGCCCCTCCTCCCTGAAACTTATTTCACCACTGTTGGGAAGTATGACTGTGATATTGAGTAATCAGACAAGGACTGGGTGGAGGGGATACTTTATAAATACCACAGGGAGAGGAAGGGCTGCTCTTTGCTCACATGCTGCCGAATCTCAGGATCTCAGTGACGTCATACCCTGTCACAGCAAAGGAGCTGCCTGAGGGATCACAGAACCGAGCACCACACACCTGGGTGTCAGATACACACTCACCATGACAGTGTTCAACCTGGGGGAGAAGAGGGCCAGTCAGGGCATGCTGCCCCTCGCTTGGGACCCAGCTCCATCCTCCCCACGATACACACCTCAATGCACCCACTCTCTAAGCTTCTGCTCAGCTTCCAGATATGCACAAAGGTGTCTTCAGCTGCAGTGAGTAGCTATAAAAAACAAAAACATGAAGAGTGAGAGTCACAATGCCCTGATAGGACAGATGTAGGTTAGAATGCCCAGTCCTGGTGCCCCAGGGAGGAGGATATACCGGGGAGCCTATAGCATTCCTCTCAACATCCTAGCACCAGGAAGCAAGGTACGCCAGGTTGCAGGAGACTGACCTTGCCAACCTCAGGAGCTAGGTCCAGGGCACAGATGGCCCGGGCGTGGGCATTGATCTGGACGTTCAGAGTTCCTGTGGTGGCCTCATAGAGATGCACTTGTCCATTCCCATAGCCTGCTGCTATGATCCCCTGCCATAGCTGCACAGAGGTGCATGGGACTCTGCAAGAGTGACATTTACCTCTGATTCTTCTAGACCCAAGGCTATGCTCCACCTTGAAGCTACCTCAGAGAGGCCACAACCCCTTTGCCTCACCTACCCAAATCCTGGAATGTGGGTCAGTAATGTGAACTCAGGTCCTGACCTCCAGACACACAATGAGCCGGAATCATCTGCTGTCACCATGTCAGCCACACCATCCTGAGGGGAAAGACAGGATCAGCTCTTCCCCTTTCTCCCTGTTGTGGTTCTGAGCACAGGGCAGGAGATAAAGGAGGTCATATTTGCATCTTGCCCTAAACCCAGAGAGGCAAAGATGCAGGGCCCTCATTGGCTGGATTACCAGACTTTCCCATGGTTCCCTTAAGAAGCATGGGCTGGGCTGGTGAGATGGCTCAGTGGTCTAAAGCACTTACTTAGAACAAGCTTAGCAAAGCACAGGGACCGCGGTTCAATCCCCCAGCACCACATGCCAGCCAGCCCCGCCCCCCCACATAAATAAATAAAATTTAAAAAAAAAAAAAAAGCATGGGCTGGGGCTGGCTAGATAGCTCAGCAGACTAAAGCGCCTGCTTAGGTAAACTTAAGCAAGCCAAGGGACTGTGGCTTGATACCCCAGCACCACATGCCGTGCCAGCCCTGCCTACAAGGCACATGCCTGTAATCCCAGCCCTGGGGAGGTGGAAAACAGGAGGATTACTGGGAGGAGGAGGGTGGAGGAAGATAAGGAGAAGGAAGAAGAGGAGGAGGAGGAGGAGGAGAAGCAGCAGCAGCACAGACTGCTTTCCTTGCACTGCCTTACATAGTCCAATAATCAACCACACTCCCTGCCCCCATCTTGTATAATCTTATTGGGTGGATGAAGCTGATGCCACAGGGCCCAGACTTTTTGGAGGTCTTACAATGACCTTAGAAGTTCACAATCAAGACTGGACTCTGGGCCTTCTGATTCCCAATACCAGGCAGCCAAAGTAGCCCAGGGGCTCTTCTCTGTGCTAGGATAAGGCAAGCACACTTACCTGTCCTTGTGCATGCTCAGTGGCAAGATCTGTGACTGGTGTGTGGTGTCCTCCCAGCTCCTCACTCAGAACAATGTTGGGACCCTTGGCTGGGATGTCGAACACCAGCACTCGGCCTGTGCAGGTTCCTGCAGCCAGAACCAGTGGCCCACTAGTGGCTTCATGCCCTTCTGGGCTTCAGTACTCCCTCCACCCCAGAAACTTTAATAACAAACCCCTGCTGCAACAGTCCCACCCCTTCACTCATTACCCTCATCCTATCCCACCCTACCTCTCTGCCTCTTCTATATGTTTTTGGAGTCTCAGATGCCCCTTTGCTCCCACCCTTCATAGTTTCCTCAGGCCTTCAGCATCCTCCTAGCTGAATCCCACACCCCACACCCCATATCCCTTAATGCCCTGTCCTCAGTCCACTCACCTACACAGATGAAGTGGCCACTGGAAGCAATTCCTCGGGCAAACACAGCCTGCACTGAGTATGACAAGGGAAAACTGTCAGATATAGCACTTCTCCCAGCCCTAGGAGGTACTCCCTACCCATATGTCCATTCAGTCCTGCAGGTACCTGAGGAGGTATCTCCAGAGTCCAGTGCATGCCAATAGACCATGACAGAGCCATCAGACTCATACATCTGGAAGACAGGAGCAAGGATGAGGCATGATCTGGTTGCCCTTGTTGAGCTGTGTGCACAGTACTTTACATACCCATGTTAGCCTTAACCCATGTAATACTCAAAACCACACCTGGAGGTTGCACTGTCCCCTGCCCCTAAGTCCTGGGAACTGAGCCCACACTTGGTGTAGGCTGGACTCTACCATTGAGTTACTTCCCCAGCCCTTTTTATTTTGAGACAGGGTCTTGCTAAGTTGTTTATGCTGGCCTGGAACTTGCAATCCACTGCTTTGGCCTCTTAAGTAATTGTTTTTTTCTTTTTTTTTTTTTCGGAAACGGGGATTGAAGTCAGACACTTGGGCTTGCCAGGCAAGCGCTTATTCTACTGAGCCATCTCCCCGGCCCCAGTAATTGGGTTTTATGGGAAAAAAAAAGTAATTGGGTTTACAGGTGAATGGCACCATACCCAGCTATAGGCATTGTTTTTATTCTATTTCTTCAGATGAGGATGCTGAGGCTCTGCCCAAGATCATACAGCCATTTTTTCTTTCTTTTCTTAAGATCTTAGAGCTATTAAAGGGGTGGACGTTGGAGATGACACTTGAGAACTGGAGAAGATGGAAGGAAGATGAAGAATGGAGAGTATGCTATGCATGACAAAAGGTTGAAAATATTTACAACCACATGGGAAAGGATTTGGGGACCTTGGGAAGATTAGTGGGGGATGTGAGCAGGGTCTTCTTACCTGTATGCCTCTGTGTGAAGTGAGAACCAGCAGTACTCGGAAGGGGAGGACACACCAGTGCACCTGGAAGGAGGTGGGTCAGGGGGAGGGCAGAAAATCAGAGGTCAGGAGAGCCACTTCCTTGAGATTGGAAAGGGCAGGGGGAGGCAGAGTTCAACAACACTCCTCTCAGCTCCCCGGCTCACCTGAGTGATAAGTGGGGGGCTCACTCCTGCGCCCTCTTTAACGTGCAGCTGGCGCTGGGCCAAGGGCATACCGTCAGGGGCAGCACTGAGAACCTGGGCGCTTGGTCCATGAACTACTCCAAAAAGCGTGAGGTTGCGGGCGGGCAGCTGTAGCACGCTGAGATTGTTACACAGGGCGGCTGCAGAGCCTTGAAGGGGGATAGAGCGCTCCCGGCGGAACATCCTGTGGGTGAGACGGTCGAATCACCGCGCGCGGGGAAAAAGATCACAGTGGTGGGCAAGGAGGGAGACCTGAGACCTCAGACCAGGTGATGAGAAGGGATGTCCTGAGGACAGTGACAGGGAAGGGTCGCGGGGGAAGAGAAGGATCTCGTGAAGCACAGAAAAGAGTCCCAGGGCTGAGTCACCGGGCGACGATGGTGAAGTCCCTGAGGAAGAATGGTGATGGCATAGGACCGGGTGGTTCCCATGGTCCGGTCCAAAAGGCAGGACGTGGCTCTCAAGCACTTCGCCCATCAGCTCCCTGAAAGCCCGCGGTTGGGTCTAAATTCACACCCGCTGCCCCACATCCCCTTGCCTGATCCCAGGATCCTAGAGTTCCACCGAATCCGCCGCCACCATAGAGACGACGCACACACGCACGCTACTGGGCGGGGCGAGCGGCGGGGTCCGCGAGCGTGCAGCGCGTGGCCCGGTTGCCGCGGTAACTGGGGAGGGAGGAGCTACCGCGCGACTCGCAGTTGCCGAGGCGACCGTTAAGCGACTCCAGCGGAAACCTCTGCTGTCACTTAGCGCCCAAGCGACAGCTGAAACTCGCGTCAGAGCTCCCGCGGCAGCAATGGCACAGGAAACCCCGGTGAGCTTGCGCTCTGCTAAGAGTGTGCCAGAAGGGTCGGTGTCGCGAACTGTGGGTATAGGGCGTTCAGGATGACTCAAGCCTTGTCAGTGCTTGGACAGAAATCCTACGTCTGCACGCTGCCCATTCCCGCGCTTTGTCACACTCGGGCCCTGAAAGAATCAGTTAATGTAGTGAATTTGGAAACTGTAATATACGTGATAAGTTTCTTGCAAGTGGATAAACCAGAATTAATAGATTTAGGGAGAGGTGTTGATCCATAAATTTGCAGAATTTCTCTGGAGGAAAAAAAATGGATTGACAACGCCGAGGGTGCACCTGAAAGTCTTATTTGTTTAAATGGCAAGACATTTTAGAATGAAACAGATTTGAAAGGCCTTTGTGTAAAAAGATTAGGTCAGGCCACGTCTAGGCATGGTTAGGGTCCAGGTCAGAGGAGAGGCTGGGGGAACAGGTCTAAGGAACCAACTCATCCTGGTTAGCTGCCCTGAGCCCACCAAATCAGGACAGGGCTGTGGGCCCCAACCTGGGCTTGCCACGGGGCTGTTCTCACCAGTAGAAAGGACGAAATAAGGCATATGGGATTTTGAGTTCAATGTGAGGATTGGGAAACACCAAATTTGAGGAGAAAATGAATTTTAAGTGGTTTTTTTTTTTTTTTT